CCCCAGCCAGGCCAGCAGACACAGATTAGAGCCTCACATCACCCCTCACCCCCCCCTCCCCAGGGATTACAGCCCTTTAATCGCCCCGAGGCATTAACCCTCCCCAGCCTGGCCCCACTGGGTGCTGAGGGGGCACCCAAACCAGCCCCAGTGTCCCCCACCACTGGGAGCATTACCTGCCTCTTCCCCCAGCCCCGGCAGCACAGTGAGCCCCCACCGAGCCCCCGCTCCCTCGGGCTTCAGAAGGATTTAGCCTTAAACCGGACACGTGAAGTCAGGAAGGTTTATTCCAGTAAACAGAATTTCTCTTGAGCTGGACAGTATGACAACACCCGATCGCAAAACACAGAAACAAAACATCCACAGGAAAAAATTTCCACAAAATACATTAAAAAAAAAAAACAACAGTGTGATTGGAAAACTCTTATTTTGGAAAAAAAAAACCAACCCAAAACAGAGTCTACTGAGAAGCCTTTAAATTAAACAGTGTCGGATTCAAACCCTGATCGGCTCTGTCTCCAGGAGTGAGCAGGAGCAAAGGAGATAATTATTGCTTGCTGTGCTGGCTCCAGACACCCTCTCCTCTCCCAAAATAACCCCAGGGGCAGGGTGCTGGGGGCTCCCTGCTATGTCGAGCACCCGTGTCCCTCCTTGGACCCGCTGGGACCCGGGGGGCTGAAGGGACAGGGTCATCGTGGACGGAGCTTTGCAGGTGGGGCTCAAACACCTCGGGGAGGAATCGCTGTGTTCGGTGGACAGGCAGGTGGGGGTTGCTAAAATTCACTAAAACAGGTTTTGCGGTTAAAGGGCAATTTGTGGGAGAAAGGGCGGGGGCTCAAATGGAGATGGGGTTTGGGGTAGGGGAAGAACCAGGAACCAGCAGGGATCAGAAGTGTTGGGCATTGGGCAAGCCCAAATCTCCCCCCCAAAATCCCTGCTTGTGCCTATGGGGATATGCAGGGCTTCAAGGCAGGGCTGGAAGAGCACCCCAGGGATGGGGTCAGGGCAGGGGGCAGCCCCCCAGCACCCCTCGGCTCTCTCTAGCCTGAAACCACTGCCCAGGACCCCGCTGCGGGGATGCTCGCTGGCCACTGAGCCCCATCCCTCAGGTCAGGGTGGTGGGGAGCAGCCCCGCATCCCCACTGGGAGTCTGTGGCAGAGAGGAGGGGGATGCAGAAAAGGTGGGTGCGAAGCTGGGGGGGGGCCGGTGGACCCTCGCCCCCACCCCAGGGCCCTCACAGGTTGCTGAACAGTTCGTTTTTCTTGCTCCAGTCCATCTGGGGCGCCCGTTTGCTGCTGCGCTTCTGATGCGCCCGCTCCTTGGCCACTGCCAGCGGGATGTCGAGGTCCAGGAGAGAGCCGGATGCCGAATGGCGCTTGTCACCCTCCTGTGTGTTGGGCTGAGGGGCGAGAGGCTGCAGCAGCCCCACAGTGTCCCCCAGGACAGCCCCACGGTGGGGGCTCAGCCCAGACCCTGCTTTCCAACCACTGCCTCCCCCCAGCATCTCCAGCCCTACCTCGCTGTGGGTCTCGATGGAGTCAGGGGACACGGCCAGCGGCCCGGGACTGGACAGACTCTCGGACACTGAGTTGGACCGCGGCTCTCCTCCGTTTTCCTGGCGGGGGAAGCAGGGAGCCCCAGGACAGCCCCACGGTGGGGGCTCAGCCCAGACCCTGCTTTCCAACCACTGCCTCCCCCCAGCATCTCCAGCCCTACCTCGCTGTGGGTCTCGATGGAGTCAGGGGACACGGCCAGCGGCCCGGGACTGGACAGACTCTCGGACACTGAGTTGGACCGCGGCTCTCCTCCGTTTTCCTGGCGGGGGAAGCAGGGAGTGAGCGTGAGCGGGCCAGTTCCAGCCCTAAAGTTTGGGAACAGCCCCGAGAGCTGTGAGTCCCACCTGGGAGGCTGCAAAATCTGTCCTCCCCACACACAATCCCCTGCGAACTCCAGGCTCATAAATACCTCCAGTGCTGCCCATCCAGGGAGGGCAGGGATTAAACCCCGGGCTGACTGCCCCAGGGAGGAGGGTGGCTGCAGGGCTGGATGCTGCTTCCCTGCACCATCATGAAGATGGAGGAGGAGGAGGAGGAGGAGGAGAAGGAGCACCTAAGGAGGCATTGCAGCCACCTCCGTGACACTCAGCCCCACAGGCAACCCCCTTCCTGGGGGGCACACTGCCTCCCAGTCCCCTTCCCAGTGGCACCTGCCCGGGAGCACTGCGGTCCCTGGTGGCATCACCCACCCATGGGCAGAGGGGACACCTAAACAGGCAGGGTCCCTGCCCCGAGACTGGGATAGATGGGATTAAAAGCAAGATGAGGCTCTCTTACCTTCTCTATATCACCATTGGCAACTGGTTCTGGCAAGGGACCTGCAGGGTGAGGACACGGATGCTGGGTGAGGATGCATTTGCTCTGTCCCCTCCTACCACCCCCCC